TTAAAATGTGAAATATTAGCATAATAATAATATTAATAATAATAATAGTAATAATAATAATGCTAGTATGAAGTCGTGGATCGGGTTACTAAGACAGCAGAGAGAATATAGTAAAAACCAGAAGTATTCAGATTAACAGGAACATCTTTCAAAGAGATTCGTTATCCTCTCTGCTTTACATTAGTTCGATTCCACAATCGAGATAGTTGTCGCACACTGAATGGTTTTAAGCTACATGGTGGTGAAAGACTAGTATCACATTTGTTTTACGGGGATGATCTTAAAGTATTAGCATGACTATTGAAAGTTAACACTTTTTCGATTGAGAATAGATCACCAAAATAGTTTATGACCCTTACCACCGCAAATCCATGATAATTGTTCATAAACTTTGTTATTAATGTGTCATTTTTTCGTAATAATACTGATAGTTTTTTGGGCGTTATTTAGTTTTATTTTCCTCTTCAGAGAATCTTAAGAGTCTGTATACTTCTTGTTTTTAATTTGACCACGCCATAATAAAGTTCCATAATTATATACTCACACTTGAATTGCATTGTGATCGCCATTCACGTCACAGATTCGCATTGCTCGGGCTCATACCTTTCTCCTATGAACCAGGACAAACCCTAACCTAAAGTAGGTACGAATATATAGATGCTAGGTTTATGCATTTAAATACGGTAATAAATTTAAATAAAACCACAATGCTCATACTTAATCTTGTTCTTTGATAAACACTGAAGAAAACAATGAAGTTTCGAAACAGGATAGCTATTTCATAAACACGCTAAATATAATGAATCGCTGTACATCTGATTCACAAAACATGCGAGGCGGAATTTCAAAGCGAGCCGTTAACCTACGTGATGAATCAAATCCTCAACGGAGCGATGCTTGAAATATGAATGGAACAAAACGTAATACAAAAATAAAGTAACAAATGGACAAATTTACAGTTAACTTAAAATAAAAATGGCCGATAGTCAGGTTATGTAACATCACCTACATCCATGGACTGTAGCCCCTGGGCTGTAGCCGAAAAGCTTCGGACTAGTGGACTTGACTGAGCAAGGTATCTTGCTCTCGCTCTTTCACGCTCTTGCTTTCGATTATGGATCGAGAAAGCAGAACACTGCTTACAATGGATCACGTCGCTCACCCTCGAGCTAATACATAGGCTGTATGTGTCATGTAAGGTAAGATGAAGATACCTCAGACTAATTGAAGCTTCCGGGCACAATCAAAAGTCGGGATGGGAAAGTATGTAGTGTCATCAAGATGATCCACTAATGAATAGTAACTGAAGATTTTTTTTTTTTAATTGTTGAAAATGTGAAATGTTACAGAAAGGTGAAAAAAAAGAGTAACTATGTTTTCCGGTCGGTGCCTTATATTTCTGAAAGTTTTCAGCAATAGAATGCAAAACGGCGAAATCGCCGCGCAAACGGCGAAATCACCCGCAAAGGACCATATGGTCGAGAATCTGCCATGTAATTGCTAAATTGCATTTTATGGTTTCCTTCGTGTTCGTTCTCTAATTAGGGATGCGACATCCATCACAACACATCAGATAAAAAACATTTAATTTGACTGTAGCCATGTTTATGGATTTATTAAAATTTAACTGACAAAACAAAGTAAAAAATTATAATAAAAAATACTGATTTCGAATGCCTGAGCGCTCAGGGTCATCAAGCGGTCTCAGCTTTATCAGTTGGTTTACGGAGAAGGTAATGGGAAGAAAACCTTCACCTACGGCGCACGCGTAATGTGTTTACGAGTTTTACCTAAGCAGCTGTAATGAGTACCTGGTCACCCACCAACAATGTAGAAGCTGAAAAATGTTTCCTCTCCTTTGAATAGTGTTATTCAGGAACCTGTAGTTCTATACGAGACAGGAATCATTCTATGGATTTAAAATTACTGCTTTTAATATTTTAATTAATTACACGAATGGTGAAATATCAAATTAGTTTCCTTTCTTTCCTGATTTTAATGGGAAAATCTAAAAAGCATAAAATGTGTTATCTCAAGGAGTCCTCTCTTAATAATTTTCTCAACTAATGATAAATCTTAATTTGTATTATGCTATAAAATGCTAGAGCCCCGATTTCAGAATGCGATTTTTCACAATTTAAAATGCCAAATACTACCGTCACTACTAATAAGGCATTAAATCTGACTGAAGATTGGGAAACCAGGGCATTGTAAGTATTGCAAGAAGAGTTGCAATACATGCAGAAAAACACAGACACTGAACTTCTGACGGTACTTAACATACAACGTGAAACAAAAAATTAAAGATAAGGACGTGCAGCGATTACATTGTATGAAAATTACTGGGGTGGAGTAGTGTAAGCTGTTAGCGACCGACCAGCTTCCCCCTCCCCTACCGCTTACAAAATGGACATCTGGACATCTAAAACAATGGACTCCATGAACAATATCTACAAAGGATGGACAAGGTGCAAATCAATAAAGACCAATCATTTATGTGGCTTAAAAGTGGAAGAAAGAATCCAGTATCGGTATCAGTTGTAATACTCGTACACGAATGAATGAACGCCAGAGACGTCACCGGATCTCTCGCAATATGTTTTTGCGATTTACCAGATCTGTAAGGAGACTAATGCATAAGCAATTTAGCGGTACCTGAAATGTTTGTAGACAGCCTTAGACTTTTGGCATACGAAATGCAAAAATAATGAAAAAAAAATCTGACGAACCAATAATTTTGCCTATTTCCACGTAAATGTGTTTTAGGGTGTGTATGTATGTATATATATATATATATATATATATATA